CACCCGTTCTTGAATCTGGTACTGTTGTTCCAACTTCTACATTACCATTATCGTCTGTTTTGAGTCTTCCTAATTTTGCATTTAATCTGCTCTCCATCAGTAAAATCACTCGTACTCTTAACTGTTCTGTAACATTTTTCCTGGATATTGTGTGTTTCAGGATCTGTTAACGAAGCAGATTATTGGTAAAGGACATGAGTCAGCTGGTCTTTATATTTTGGATACATCAATTACAAAAGGTATCTCTTGTCTTGGGGTTGGAAATCTATTAGAAGCTCATTACCGATTAGGACATCCATCTCTCTCACTAATGAAGCAATTATATCCTCAGTTTAATAAGGTGTCTTCTATACAATGTGAGTCGTGTGAGTTTGCTAAACATCATCGCACTAGTTTAAGTCCCCGACTTAATAAACGAGCAAATGCTCCGTTTGATCTTGTCCATACTGATGTTTGGGGGGCATGTCCAGTTGTGTCCAAACCTGGTTTCAAATATTTTGTCACTTTTGTTGACGATTATTCTCGTATGACATGGGTGTATTTTATGAAGCGTCGATCCGAGGTATTTACTCATTTCTCTGCATTTTGTGCTGAAATTAAAACTCAATTTAATGTTCCTGTTCGTATGTTAAGGGGAGACAATGCCCAAGAATATTTATCTGCTCCATTTAAATCTTTTATGCTTCAACATGGCATTATTCATCAAACTTCATGCGTAGACACACCTCCTCAAAATGGAGTTGCTGAAAGAAAGAATCGACATCTGTTAGAAACTGAAAGGGATCTTCTATTCCAAATGAATGTGCCTAAACAGTTTTGGGCTGACGTTGTGTCTACTTCATGTTTTTTGATCAATCGCATGCCATCTTCTGTTTTGGATGGTAAAACTCCTTATCAATGTCTTTTTCCAAATAAAGAACTTTTTCCTATTCCACCTAAAATATTTGGTTGCACTTGTTTTGTTAGAGATGTTAACCCTCATCGGACGAAATTGGACCCCAAGTCATTGAAATGTATTTTCTTAGGTTATTCTCGAGTTCAAAAGGGGTATAGATGTTTTTGTCCAAGTACAGGTCGATATCTTATTTCTATTGATGTCTCATTTCATGAGAATACACCTTTTTCATCATCCAAGACAGATATTCATGAGGACAACGATGAAATACTCATTTACACAGTTACTATACCTGAGACCACACCTTCAGTAACTATGCCGAATGTCACTGTTCCTGACCCTAGACCTCCTGTACACTTGGTTTACACCCGTCGACACAAAGCACAAGATCACTCTACACCTGTGACACCTGTGATTACATATCCTGATACTAGTCCGACTTCGATCTCATGTCCTGAACTAGTACCTGCATCTTCAGATCTTGTCTCTACATCTGATCTTGACCTCCCGATAGCACTACGTAAAGGTACACGGTCTTGTACTCATCCTATTTCCTCATTTGTGTCATACAGTCAGTTATCTCCTGCCTCATGTTCTTTTGTTGCTTCCATTGATTCTATTTATGTTCCCAAATCTGTTAAAGAAGCTTTGTCTCATCCTGAATGGCGTCATGCCATGGTAGAGGAAATGAATGCTTTGGATCTTAATGGTACTTGGGATTTGGTAGACTTGCCTTCAGGGAAGAAGTCTATTGGATGTAAGTGGGTCTTTGCTATGAAGGTTAATCCAGATGGATCTGTTGCTCGATTGAAAGCTCGATTGGTTGCAAAGGGTTATGCTCAAACCTATGGTGTTGATTATTCTGACACTTTTTCTCCTGTTGCTAAATTAACATCTGTCAGGTTACTTATCTCACTCGCTGCAACTCATGATTGGCACTTACACCAGTTGGACATTAAAAATGCATTCTTGCATGGTGACCTTCAGGAGGAAGTTTATATTGAGCAACCTCCGGGATTTGTTGCTCAGGGGGAGTATGGGAAAGTTTGTCGACTTCGCAAATCTCTTTATGGTCTGAAACAGAGTCCTCGTGCATGGTTTGGGAAATTCAGTCAATCCATTGAACGGTTTGGAATGATAAAAGGTCAATCAGATCACTCTGTCTTTTACAGAAAAACGAAAGCAGGTATCACATTGCTTGTGGTGTATGTCGATGATATTGTGATTACAGGAAGTGATACTGCAGGTATTTTGGCTCTTAAGAATTTTCTTCATAGCCAATTTCAAACAAAAGACCTAGGCTCATTGAAATACTTTCTAGGTATTGAGGTAACACGAAGTAAGAAAGGCATATTCTTATCTCAGCGTAAATATGTACTTGATTTACTAACTGAAACAGGGAAATTGGGAGCAAAGCCAAACACAACCTGTGTCTTTGTTGGAGGAAACCTAGTATCCTGGAAGAGTAAGAAACAGAGTGTGGTTTCTCGTTCGAGTGCCGAATCAGAATACCGAGCTATGGCACAATCTGCATGTGAGATCATATGGATAGGCCATTTATTGGGTGAAATCGGATTGAAGACACCAATGCCTGCTAAATTGTGGTGTGATAATCAAGCTGCCATACACATTGCCAACAACCCAGTATTTCATGAGAGAACAAAGCATATTGAGGTTGATTGTCATTTTATTCGAGAGAAGATACAAAAAGGATTGATCTCTACAGGATATGTGAAGACTGGAGAACAACTTGGAGATTTGTTCACTAAAGCACTAAATGGGATCCGAGTTGGTTATTTATGTAACAAGTTGGGCATGATAAATATCTATGCTCCAACTTGAGGGGGAGTGTGAAAGATATAGAAGATATAGAATATACTTTAGAATATTATAATATACTTCAGAATATTCTAGGAATATACTTTAGGATATTATTATTGTATAGAATCTTGTATAGGAATATTCTATTTGTAATGTATATTTATAGGGACTTAACCCTTCAATGAAAAACACAGAAAATCATTCTCTCCATCTTAAATATTATTCTAGTTTATATTTCAACATTATGATTTGAGCCTTAGTTTTCTTTTTTCTTCTATCACTATAATTATATTTTTTGTTCTACAAGTCATGTAAATAATCAACTTAACTTTTAATAACTTCTTCATAAATGCCGATAAATTCTGTGTGTTTGAGCTTTAGTTTTTCATTGAACAAAAAAGCTAAATCTTTAACTAAAATCAAGAACTTAGTTTTTACTACAGAGTTATTTTAGTCAGACTAATAGTTGCAAACAATGAACTTTTATAAACAATGTCATAACTTTTAGTGATGTAACTATTCCTCTTTTGACCTTTTTGCTTTACCAGAAGAGCATCATGTGAAATCACGGAATATGTGAGTTTTAGGTCCATGTAAGCTATCACAACGAATGTATTGGTGGTTGCTTTTATCACCTTTTTTGTTATAGTAACAAATAAATTTTTACTTTTCAATTTATTACATGTATTCATCATTGTTGAAAATCAATTAATAACAAGCATTATTGTTTGAAATTGGAAGATATTAGTGTGTCTAACAAGCATTATTGTTTGAAATAATAAGATATTCGTGAGTCAAAGATGACAACCTAATAACGTTAGAACATCTATTAAGATTTCCCAACTCTTAAAGAAAGAAGCTTTACTTCTATTCTAAAATCGGTAACTTTTTAAATTTTTTTAACAACTTATAACTGTAGCTTTTGTAATGTCCAAATTGAAAGTATAACTGCAAGTCTGCAACGTAGTTCAGAATCTAAAAACAAGTTTTTCATGGCAACTACAAATATGCCAAAAACAAGCAGAAACACGTACACATATACACCAAACCAAAGTGCCCCTCAAAATATGCCTCTAAGGACATTTGCTGCAGTGGAGATGACTACTCTTGTAATAGCACACTGGATGAACTGCTCGTGAGAATGGTCCTTTGCTATGAGAGCCAGTGCTGCTCCGGTTATGGCTCCAGCCACAACGCTATTTCTCCAATCATGTGTTCCTCGAACCTCCCTTAGCCCATAGGTAATACCAGAATACATTCCTGCAGCAAATCCCCATTGCATAGATTCTTTCCCTGTGCTTCTCTTATCAAGGCCTCAAATGAGTTTTTGTTGATATCCCCTCTAAGGCCTGGAAACGAATGATGTTTAAAGTAAATCTCTAAATCTTTACACATACACAATGACTATTATAATAGGTGTAAAGTATAAGAGAAATTTTCATCACAAATTTCAATACATTTTAATAAAAAAGAAAAGTGAATCATGATAACAACCCATTTTAAAATTTTATAACTCAAACACTACACTTCACACATGCAAATTCCATCAAATTCCAAATGAAGCTGTATTTATACTAATTAATTTGAGGAGAAAACCCCCATACATAGTATGGAGTAATATAGTATCTGTACTTGGACTATTTCTAAGAAGACATTCAATATGTTAATCATTTTACATCATCATAACTAAACATAGAAGTCTAAAAAAACAGGGAAGTCAGCAACACAAGAACATTAGCTTATATATTCGTATAGCTAAATTGTAAATATACTCAAATCCAAGAAGACTATTGATTTTATTTACCAATGAAACATTTTAACACCGACTTGGTAGAACTCCCATTCTTATAAAATCTGAAACTCTTGAACTCAATGTGATAGTCTCTTGCAGACATATCTTCAAACACCTTAAATGCCCCAAGTACATACTTTGAAAGGATAGAGAGTAAACTTGGGTATGTACTAGAGATTCTGATAAAATTCAAACTTGAATGGTGCTCACTCCTCACCGTGTTGTCCAAATTTTGTTGTTCTCAAGACAGTGGAGAAAGAAAATCCCCGAATAATGGTCTTATGGAAAAGCTGGCATCAACAAAAGGTTAGCTCACGTTTCTGGAAGATCCAATTGATCTTGGTGGTAATCCATTTGCAGATTATTTCGTACACAATATTTATTTTGGTTTGATGCAATCGATGCTCCTAATATTCACCTAAAATCAAACATGGCAATTCAACTAGAGGTAGACGAAGGGGATCGGAGAGAGAAGACAGCACACCGGGTCATTAATCCATCTTTCACATCTAAATAGGTACAGGGTTCTAAAAAATTACAAACCTTGCCATTAACGATGCGCTTGAATCTGAATAAATCTGACGGTACACAAACTTAAAGATGCGCTTGGATTTGAATAAATCCGACGGTACACAAAAGTTCTCACTTTTCAGCCCAAGGCATGCTTCTCGTGGGATCTTTTCTCTCTATATATATACTAGCTTTCAAGCACGTGCGATGCACGGGTAGTATCTAATTTAGCTAATTTGAAATTTGATTTCTTTCGGATCAAATGTAATGTGATTTAAAAGAAAAATAAACTTAGTCTAAAATAGAGCCTGTTTGATAATATTAAAATAAATCGAATTAACTTATTTTACTAAAATTGATTAAATTCTGGCTGAATGGGATGAATGAGTGGAATCTCCTGAATCATGAAAAAAATATGTAAAATATATCCCATTAGTGAAATCAAGAAAAAATTATATGAAAAATAGTTAAATTGATCTTCTACATAAGCAACTCAAGTAAATATAATTGTTATGAACCCGATTTTAAAGAATTCACAATCTCACGTCTTCTAAATTACTTTCTATTTATATCTAGAAGCAAATACAAAATAGAGAATATTACCCAAAATAAGACTAAAAAGGTTTGAAAATTCCAAAATAGGACTGCCATGTTTTTATTCTCAAAATAGGACTAATTACTTCCATGTTTTGGCAGTACCAGACTTCAAACATGGCAGTATTTTCCAGACTTGGCGGTAATTACTCCTATTTTGGGAATAAAAAACATGACAGTCCTATTTTGGAATTTTCAAACTGTTTTAATCCTATTTCGGGAACTTTCTCAATAAAATACTATGTAAAGAAATTGATCTTAATAAGACTAAAACATACTCAAAATTCCATAATAGGACTACATGTTTTAAATTTCCTAAATAGGACCGCCGATTACCATTCTACCCTTCACATCCATCTGCGCTTCATCGGTTTTCACTCGATCAGCTGCAAAAATTCATCGCAGCAGGCAACCGCTTCACACATGCGCAAATCCTTTCCTCCCATGGACTGCAGCTCCGTTACCGACTATGGCCTTGCACCTTCGCCGTCAATCGTAGGTGATTTCCTCATCCTCCTATTCTTTTTCTTTCTTCTTTCTTCCTCTTCCCCTGGTGCACTTCTTCCCCCTCATGCACTCTGTTTTCTGTTTTTTTCTTCTATTCATCTACTACCTTTTTAAATTCTAAATAAGTTTTTGGATATTATGTATTGATTTGGATTGTTTTGGATTTGAATTTTATTTTTTCAGAAAAAAGCCACTTTCATAATCTGAGAATGTCAAAAGTATTGGTTATTTGAAAAAATGTCACGTTTGTGATAGTACATTGTATGAGAATAGCAATTTGAGAATGTCACATGTAAATAAGAAAATGTCATTAACATGTCATTATTCATATCAAGTGGCATAAAGTTAGTAAGAAAATGCCATTAACATGTAAAAGTTAAAGTTCAGTAAGAAAATATCATCTTTATAAAGTTAGTTGCATAAAACTGACATTGTTTTGTGAAACGGATAAAAATATGACATTCTAGAGTTTTATAGTTTCAAAATGATATTGTCATCTTAATAGGTGCAATGCCATAAAGTGACATTTTTTCTAAGTATTATTATTTTTATTTCATTCTTAAATTCAAGATTAATCAAAATCAATAAATAAGATTCAAAATCAAAGAAGAAGAAAACAGAGGACATTGAAGAAGATGAGAAGAAGGAGAAGGAGAAGAAGAGGAGGAAGAAGTGAAGAAGAATGAAGTGCTATTTGAAATAGGGAGCTACTTCCTCCTGCATGACTGCATCTGATGGTGAAAAATTCTTGAGCAGACATTTTTTGGATGGCAGTAAAGAAGCTTCATAGACCAAGATTAAGATGGGAGCAAAGCTTGGCCGAAGAATTCAACGGGGCTAGAGTCTTCTCAAAAGCGCATGCCTGGGAGAGCCTGGGAGAGTTAGTTTTATTTCATTAAGGGTAGTTTTGTCAGATTACCTCTTTTTAGTCCTATTTTTGTTAAATAAAATATAGTAGTCTTATTCTTTGTTTTGAAATTCTATTAACTTTTAGTACTATGTATAAGCAAAATTGCCATCTAATCTTATACAGTAGAACTCTTGTGGATATAATAAGTATGAGAATTTGTAGTTTTGTCCGAGTGCATGTCTTGATTATACTCATCCTTTAAGGTTCGTACTTCGTAGTACCTCAAAGAAGAAAGGCACTCCTTTAACTCTTTAAGCTTACCATTCATGAATCCAAGTGAAATGTGTTACGCATTGGCGTCTAGCAAAGATTTATATCGATCTTGAAGCTTGGAAATTTACGAGTTATCAACTTATCATTAGTGGGATGTCCACCGTTTCAATTTTGTATGGGAAAATGGGGAATGGAGAACTGTACTACTTGAATCCTTTTGGAAGAACCACCCAAACCTTTTAATAATCTGAGAAGTCGATTCAATCCGGTTTACTAATACGATTCCAAAGTACATAACAAAATTTAGTTTTAACTAGGGATCTAAGGACAGTTCGTATACCGTGGGATCATCCCACGGTGAGCATCATGCTCTCACTCCCAAAACGACGTAGTTTTGCACAATCTTTAAAAAAAATCGCGTGAACAGTACACGCGTGTACAGTAACTGTTTTTTCCTTCTTTTTGTCCGAGTGGCAGGAATGATGTAACTCACATGTAAATATATGTAACTCACGTTATTGATCAATGTAACTTAAGTCCAGTTGAAATGTAACTTTGTCAAATACATAGTATAAGAAGTAAACTTTGATTTAAATGTAAATAATGATAAAAAAGATGTCAAATTATTTTACATAAATAGTGTTATTTATATGTAAATATGTTTTGTTTTTAATATCAGGGCTATAAAAATGATTTTTTTTATGAAAATGATTTGTCTTTGAAATAGGGAGCTACTTCCTCCTGCATGACTGCATCTGATGGTGAAAAATTCTTGAGCAGACATTTTTTGGATGGCAGTAAAGAAGCTTCATAGACCAAGATTAAGATGGGAGCAAAGCTTGGCCGAAGAATTCAACGGGGCTAGAGTCTTCTCAAAAGCGCATGCCTGGGAGAGCCTGGGAGAGTTAGTTTTATTTCATTAAGGGTAGTTTTGTCAGATTACCTCTTTTTAGTCCTATTTTTGTTAAATAAAATATAGTAGTCTTATTCTTTGTTTTGAAATTCTATTAACTTTTAGTACTATGTATAAGCAAAATTGCCATCTAATCTTATACAGTAGAACTCTTGTGGATATAATAAGTATGAGAATTTGTAGTTTTGTCCGAGTGCATGTCTTGATTATACTCATCCTTTAAGGTTCGTACTTCGTAGTACCTCAAAGAAGAAAGGCACTCCTTTAACTCTTTAAGCTTACCATTCATGAATCCAAGTGAAATGTGTTACGCATTGGCGTCTAGCAAAGATTTATATCGATCTTGAAGCTTGGAAATTTACGAGTTATCAACTTATCATTAGTGGGATGTCCACCGTTTCAATTTTGTATGGGAAAATGGGGAATGGAGAACTGTACTACTTGAATCCTTTTGGAAGAACCACCCAAACCTTTTAATAATCTGAGAAGTCGATTCAATCCGGTTTACTAATACGATTCCAAAGTACATAACAAAATTTAGTTTTAACTAGGGATCTAAGGACAGTTCGTATACCGTGGGATCATCCCACGGTGAGCATCATGCTCTCACTCCCAAAACGACGTAGTTTTGCACAATCTTTAAAAAAAATCGCGTGAACAGTACACGCGTGTACAGTAACTGTTTTTTCCTTCTTTTTGTCCGAGTGGCAGGAATGATGTAACTCACATGTAAATATATGTAACTCACGTTATTGATCAATGTAACTTAAGTCCAGTTGAAATGTAACTTTGTCAAATACATAGTATAAGAAGTAAACTTTGATTTAAATGTAAATAATGATAAAAAAGATGTCAAATTATTTTACATAAATAGTGTTATTTATATGTAAATATGTTTTGTTTTTAATATCAGGGCTATAAAAATGATTTTTTTTATGAAAATGATTTGTCTTTGAATAACAGGGGTTTATTATGTTGTGTAACTCGCATTATATTGCGGTGTAACTCGCATTATGGAAAATGTAATTCACGCGTAAGTAAGATGTAACTTGCTGAGAAAAGTTGACATGTAACTCACGCTAATAAATATGTAACTTAAGATAAATAGAAATGTAAATTACGTTAATAAAAATGTAAGTTGAACCAAATCAAAATGTAAGGTATATAATATATATATATATATATATATATATATATATATATATATATATATATATATATATATATATATACATACACACACACACACTCTAATGCTCTATACTCTATATATAAAATTTGCATCTTTCCTTCTCTTCAAATACTCCGTATATGTATCAATTTAATCAGTGGGATGCTTTTTACTTTTGTTGGATGAGTAAAAAAGACAGCCGCAGAGCTCTAGCCAACACAAAGGAGCTCGTCATCATCTATGTCGGTGAAACAAAAGGGCATGCGACTGAATGGATCTCAATTCGGAGTGGATCAACACGAAGTGGATCTCAATATGGGGTGCGCCCGTCTCCAACGACAGCAACCATACAACTCCAGACGACGAGAACTCCTTCCTTCTGAGCCGACTTGCTCTCCTTTTTAATTAACAAAACTATGTCGTTTTGGGATCGGCACACCATGCGGATGGTGGGCCGATCCCACGGTATAATTTGCGATCTAAGGATAGGAATAATTGTAACAACATTATCAAATTGATGAATACCACCCTCAAAACAAAATTGATGAATACCATTTTTTTTATTTAAAATGAATGATTTAACTTTCAGCCGCTCTTCCAGAGCTCTAGAGCGCCGCCTTCTAGGGTTTGCCTAGGGGCGTTTTGTCCGGCCACGATTGTTCAATCGTTGTGCGAGTTTGGATTTTTCGTCTGTTAGTTGCTGATCTCGGCATAGCAGATCGTGTTTTTGTTTCTTCTTTGGGATTGGGGTCATCGACCTAATCGTTTTGGGATCTGTCTTGGTTGATTCGAGCAAGGCATTCGTTGATTGCTTTAATTGTGTCTGAGGTGTTCGGTCTCGACAATGAGCAAGGTCGGAGTTTCTGGCAGAAGGTTAGAGCAACAGCTTTGCATGGATAGCTTCGTGGACAAATACAAAAGGATGACGAATGAGGCAGAGGAAGAAGAACTGGATCTAGATGAAGCTGATGTTGAGGTTATGGTGGATGAGCGACGGACGCGTCCCCCTCCCGAGCCGCCGCTGTGGAAGGCAAACAAATCTAGGGTTTTGAAAAAGATAATTTATTTTATTTGTCTCGTTTGTTTTTCCAGTAATTTTTATGCCCGTTTTGTTATTTGTTTTTTCTTTATTGTTCCTGTTTGTAAGACGTTGATTTTGGAATGGGGATTGAGAGGAATAGGGTGACCGTTTCTGGCTGTTTGTTTCCCAATTATGGATCAACGAATTTTATTGTTACGGCGATTAATTCCGAGTCTGGTTCGAGGGATAACGGTTGTTGGATTTCTTTCTGTCTTTTGACCCATACTCTCAAAATTATTTGTTATTAATAAAAGCCGAATTCATTAAAAAAACATTTGACTTCATTGAAGGGATTACCAAGTGGTCAATTTTAGGATGTTTTGGTTGACTTTTATCAATTCAATCAATTTTCAAATTCAAAGTCATTAATCCAGCCACTTTGAATTGAGTTAGTTTTTGTCATATTTTGTTTTATGCAATTCAATTTTGAGTGAAAAGGTTTTAATATGAACAAATTTATTAGTTATAAGACTCTTTACGATTGCGTAACTTTAAAGTTTTACTGAAAACAACTAATACTAACAGGACTATGAGCATCTTTGTAATCTTATTTTTAGCTTATCAACATTTTCACTTAACTTTGTTGCAAAATACTTAAATTTTCATTCAGCGCACAAAATTTTGCAATAATCAAAATAAGTAAGGTCAACGTTACTTTTGACTGAATCAACTCAAATGGTTGTAGAGGACCATTCAACTATTTCTTCCTATATTTTCTTTATTTTATTAGCTAAATATATTTTAAATATTCAGAGTCAGTCCATTCAGCCACTTCAGCAATGATGTCATCAATTTCAGTAGATTCGTCTAATTCAGTCAATTTTAATGTTATAAAACGGGTTTTATATATAATCTTTTTTCTAAACGTAAATTAAAAGTTATCTAACCCTTATTAAAGGACTTTAAAAATCCCTTATAAAAGGATATGGAAGAGGGTGAAAACATATTTTTTTTATAGTGCATGAGTGTACGTGATAGTATATCCAACTCCGGTGGTGATATTTTTCCAATTTTTATAATTAAATAAATAATATCCCCGTCTCGCTAAGATTGTCTCATTTTTCTTTTTTCGGTCTGTCCCGTAAATATTATCTCATACCAAATTTAGTAAAATTTATGTGATTTTAAATGATTCTTACTTTATTCTTATTTTATCAATTCAATAACACACATAAACCTGTTTTTATTGCTATGCGTGTCACTCCCGCTTGTACCGCTGTTAGTGGGACATAGGGAGTTTGTAGTAACTAATAAAATTATTAAATTAATGAGTTCCCATAATATGAAATATGAAAATTTATTTAGCATTTTCAAAGAATCATATCGAGTGTGGGGGAGAGCATGGCGTTGGACAGTTCAAAAAATAGGGAGGGGACGAGCTTCGCTTTGTAAGCCCGCCTATATTGATTAAGTCAGGCTTGAAGCGCAGGTTGCAAGAGGTGTTGCTGGTTGTGATGCAGGGGCGGAATTTTTATGCTTTGTGTTTTATTTTTATTTTTCGTAACAGTTTTTGCTGTTGTATTTTCCGTTTGATCCTTTTTATTTGTTGTGAATTTGGATGTGGGTGATAAAGGAATGAGGTAACCGTCTTTGGCTTAGTTGTGCCCGTTAAGAGTTCAACGAGTTTTATTGCTTTTGTTGAGGTGATTAATTCTGAGTCTGGCTCGAGGGACGCCGGTTTCAAGATTCTTTTTGTCAGATTACCTACTATTTGAATGATGTTTTATGAATATAAGTCTATTTCTTCCACACACAAAAACGAATCATACAGAGTATCATTTAAGAGA